TAATGTCCTAATGATTTTTGGCATAAAAGAAAAATCAATAATTTTAACCCATACAATGTATTTTTGGCTATTACAAATATACCCCAGTGACTTACGACTGGTTTTGTGGTCCAGGGCTACATATGTGACCAAAAACAAACAAAAAAAAAGATAAGAACATGTTTGTTTGGAAGCCAGTTACATATTTAAAGGTAAATTTGTATTTACATTTTAAGAATGAAATAATTTACCTGTTGAGAGTGTGTTGACAGTCTGTGTAGATGGATCACTGAACTCCAGAAAATCAGTAATGAGGTGCTTTGTCAGTTACATATTTAAAAACAAAAAGGGCGGGAATAAAGAACCCTAAACTCTAACACAACGAACCATTTTCAGCATAAAAGGGTTCTTCAGGATGCCGTGGTTCTAAATTGAACCGTTACTACATATAAAGATCCTTTAAAGAACTATCTTTTTTTTAGAGTGTAGGCTAAATGATTCACCACATTTTAAGCACTGAACTCAACAATTTTCACTCCTACGTGTAGGTACTGTAGCTTAGGCTAAATGTCTAAAATATGTTTGACCTAAAAGCTATTACTTGTCTTTTTTTCAATGAGTTGTCTAATAGAGAGTGTGCGTGAAAAAAAAAAATCTACTCACTGGGGAAAGAAGTGCCATATGTTTCATCAAAACAAAGTTCTGCTGTTTTAATCGTGCGTATGCACCTGTTTGCTGCGGTATGTCGGCACAGACATGGTTCCGCCCTCTAACACTTGTCCTTTCATTCTGATTGGTTGAGCAAGATGTCTATGATAATTTCCGTCTAGGCTGCACCTGACTCTCTCTTCTCTGCTCGAGAATGTAGCGCAAAGACAACCTCCAAGCATCAGCTATTTATTCATCACACCATCTCCCACTCAAAACTCTTGCTCGTGCAGACCTACTAGCGCTAGTCAGATATAGCAAAAGTAATTTCCTTTAAAAGACGATGCCAAGGTCTTTCTTGGTGAAGAAACACCTCACTAACAAGAAGCCTGATTATGGTGTGTTGGATTCAAAAAAACACGGTAAGTTATTTTCAGACCTCCGACTCAAATTAAATATTACGTTTCTCGTTTGTCTAGCTTGTTAATGGTAGTGAAAGCTGTTTGTTCCTTTGCCTAAACATGCCACAGATCTCTATTTGTTTTAATAGTTTGATTATTATTATTTTATCATATTGGATTTTGTTTCGATATTTGCATCGTAGTAATATTAAGAACATATTTGGAAAATGTTAAATGCAGTTTAATAATAAACACATTTAATAATAATTTAATAATGCTGTTTATATAGCTTGTGAATGACTGAAGGGGAAAATTAAATTATTTGCATGTTTTGCATTATAAATTAATAACATTCTGACTTTACAAACTAGTAGGCTACATATCTGGAAATCGTACAGTTTGTACAAAATAGTTAACATGGGCATGACTTCTATAATGCTTACAAATGGTGATGAATCCTTAAGATTGATTATATATTTATATGAATATTTCCCTGATTGAGACTTTTTAAAAAAGTACAAATTGTACATGTAGTCTTTCCGTTAATATTTGTTAATATACACAAATAAAAAATAGCCTGTCACTGCTTGAAATGTTTCAGCTTCTTCGTGATATGCCTGTATGATCAGCCACAGATGTTCTATACAGTCATGAGGAGTAGATAATGAGAAACGTATGAAGACTGAGAACAGATATCACAAGCGCGCCTGGAGTTTAGCAGGTGCACAATCTCTCACAAAAGAGGGACCCTTTTGTGTTAGCCCTCGCTTTGGGGTTTGAAGAGTCCTATTAGAAAAGCTGAAGATGGATATAGTGCTCCATATGGATGCTTTTACCCTGCAGTGCCTTAAAATCTATGGTTTTGTTCTCCACTATTGGCCCACTCATAACATCTTTACCAAAAGTAAATCTTATAGGAAAATTGTATTATTAATTACTATTAATAATAATATATTTAGCTGTGTATTTAAATGTTGATATCCATGAATTTACTTCACATAAGAATTTCACACTGTTTGATGTGATCATGTGCATTACATATCTCCACAGAGGTGATTCATGTTGAATCTTCGAGCTCCAAACTCAAAATAGTGCATCCCCATGAGACTCTGTTTCCTGCACCATTTCTTGGGAACTCAGCATTGAGCCCCACTCTGCGGATGAACCCCATCAGTTCAGGGATCTGTGTGCCTCCACCCAAGTCTGCCCACCCAAGCCTGCCCATGGACGGCACATTTCTGGGTATCATTTACCCCCTACCTGTAACGTCCAGTCCCCTTCGAGACATGCAGCCTGCGCTCCCAATGCTGGAGTGTACAAAACCACGGCCATTTCAGCTTTCCCAGAGAGACCTACAAGACAATGTCCCTGTGTCGCCTTTAGGACTGAGCACCACTGGCAGCAGTCAGGAGCGCAGTGATGAATGCTTTGACTGCCAGAAACCTTTCTTGACGTTATCTAGTCTGGCCAACCAGAGGCAAATTCACTGTCAGTGGCAATGCCAAAAGTACTTTAGCTGCAAGTATTGTGACAAGGAGTATGTGAGTCTAGGGGCGCTGAAGATGCACATCCGGACACACACGCTGCCATGTGTCTGTAAACTCTGTGGAAAGGCCTTTTCTAGGCCCTGGCTACTTCAGGGACACATTCGCACACACACAGGTACGTTCACAGTCTATGTACACTTGTAGGGACAATTTTGTATTTACTGCATTGGAAAGCTGTAAAATGTATTCTTAAAGGAATATGTCACTTAAAAATAAAAAAAATAAAAAATAAATATGTCATTGTTTATTCACCCTCATGTCATCTCATATTTTGTACTTCTGTGAAACACAAAATAAGAAGTTAGGCAGGATGTCAGTGCTACTTTCCATATGAAAAAAATAGATTCAAAAAACAATATAAAGTATATATAATGAGTCTATACAGCATGTGATATTACAAGTCTTATGAAGTTATATGATGGCTTTATGCAATGAACCAACCAAAACTTAAAGGGATAGTCCATCCAAAAATGAAGATTGTCATCATTTACTCACCCTCATGTCATTCCAAATCTGTATGCATGTCTTTCTTCTGCTGAACACAAAATTAGATATTTTAAATAATGTTGATAACCAAACAGTTTTGGTTCCCATTAACTTTCTTTTCTTTTCTTTCTTTCTTTTTTTTTTTTTCTCTCAATACAATGAAAAAGTCATTGGAATCCAAAAATGTTTGGTTGACAACTTTCTTCAAAATATCTTATTTTGTGTTCTGCGTAAGAAAAGTTATCAAGGTTGGGAATGACATGAGGGTGAGTAAATGATGACAGAATTTTCATTTTTGGGCGAACTGTCTATTTAAGTTGTTTTTCACTGACAATTTCCCTTCTGAAGTCTCAAATCTCATTTCCACTTCTGTTGAATTATAAAAGGTGCCTTTAAACATGTTGTGCTTTTTTGACATCCCTAACATTAAAACACCATTGGTTTTCACATCATGGCAAATTTCAAATATGTGACAAATGAGATTGAGATGAACAGTTAAGGGGAATGTTATAAAGTTTAGTCTCTTCCTCACACAAAGCTATGGTATGGCTTCAGAAGACTTGTAATATAATGCAAAAGTTGTATGGACAATTTTATGATACTTTTATAGTGCTTTCTGTACTTTTTGGAGCTTAAAGTAGTTTAAATCACCATCCACATTCCTTGTATGGAAAACAGAAGCAAGGACATTCTGCCCAAGATCACCTTTTGTGTTTCCTGGAAGAAAGAATATAATACAGGGCTGGAATGACATGAGGGTCAGTAGGATTTACTTAGAAACTATTTTCACTCTAAATTGCTAAATTGCTAAATTGCTTTATTTACAACTCAGAAAAATAATTTAAACAGCGTAAATAACAACAATTTCATTTTGGGTGAACTACTGCTAAAAGAAGTTTGAAAATGACACATTGTATTTTGAAAATGGATGTAAAATGATAATAAGACCTAACTCAAATCATTTGATTATTTTAGGTGAAAAGCCATTCTCCTGCCCCCACTGCAGTCGTGCGTTCGCTGACCGCTCAAACCTTCGGGCGCATTTACAAACCCACTCTGAGATCAAGAAATACCAGTGCAGAAGCTGCTTTAAAACCTTCTCCAGAATATCACTCCTGACAAAGCATGAAGAGGCCGGGTGCTGCCCCATGTCCTAATATGTACTAGGTTGTGGGTTGTCAGGGTGAGTTATAGTGCCAAAGTTTGTCAAATCAAAGTGCCTCACAAACTCAAGAGTCTGGTATATTGACTGATATACTGTATACTCTTTGAATTAAATGAACAAACTGTAATCACAATATGCTGTACATTGTGTGTGACCTTAGAAAGTTGTGATGGTTTTTCAGGTTATGGTTTTGTAATGAAGAAATTTCAAAGCAAACAATAAAAACATATTTTTCTAATAACGTGTCCTGTATAGTATAATATCAACAGATGAAATAAGTTTGAAACAACTGCTGTGGTCTTCCATGCCTGCTCATTATGGGTCAGACAGATTGTTGAACTTTTGACTTCACATACCATTAAGTCCTATCCTACATCCCAGCTCACACAGTATTAATTAATCTGTCTATATTCAGGGCAGCTATGGAGAGGAAAATTCTTTGAGGCTAAATAAAACCTACATTTGTAATTGTGCATGGAAAAAATCCTTGTATATATTTACTGGCAGGTGGATGGAGGCCAGCTGCATGCCATAATGGTGCCATGCCAAAACTCCATCAGTAAGGGTCTTAGTCTATGTTTTCTTTTGTCTGAGATAAATATTTCATAGGCATACTCCATTTGTCTAATCACTGATGAAAAAAGGACAATAGGACTATGAGTCCACACCATATAGAAGGCAGAATATTTTACATATTTAAAAAATTCACATAAATTATTGTCAGTTGCTAGTTATTACAAGAAACAAACTGAATTATGATTGCTCAACCTATATGAACATCACACACAAACATGTTCACATACCATAAATTATGTGTTAATAAGGGGGTGTCATATATTTACAGATAAATACAGCTGCAAGCAATAATGGAGCCAAGCACCCCAGCAACAACATCTACAGTCCTAAGCAATGAATCCAAAGTATCTAAGGATAGCAGGGTCGAGTGTGCAACTGCACATGGAACCTCTGAGCATTAGATACGACCTCACTTCCTGTTTCAACCCTCAACGGACATCTTGGCAATTGAATCGTCATTGGCTAGTATATTTGTTTGTTTACTCGCCAGACTGAAATACTATACTATACT